TTAATCCTCATTGTTCTTATTAAACTAAATTTTTATTCAATTTTATTAAATTATTTTTATCTTTATTTAACTAAATTTTAATTCAAATTTATTTAACAATTTTTGTTTATATTTCAATAAATTTTTATTCAAGTTTATTTAACAATCCTTGTCTTTGTTTAACTAAATTTTTATTCAAGTCTATTTTACAATTCTTGTCTTTGTTTAATTAAATTTTTATTTAATTTTATTTAACCATTCTTGTCTTTGTTTAACCAAATTTTTATTTAATTTTATTTAGCAATTTTTGTTATTCTTTCAATAAATTTTTATTAAATTCCATTTAACAATTTTTGCTTTAATTTCAATCAATTTTTATTAAATTTTATTTAACAATTTTTGTTTTCCTTCCAATAAATTTTTATTCAATTTTCTTTAATTATTTTCATTTTTACTTAACTAAATTTTTATACAATTTTACTTAATTATCATTGACTTTATCTAAATAAAAATAACATTTATCATAAAATTAATAAAACTACCATTTTAATTTAATCCAATTTCCCATTAGAAATTCTAAAAATCAAAAATCATCCAAATTTTTAAATTCAATTTTGCTGTTACAAGGTTAAGCTACTAACTCCTACTTAAATTTTAATCAACCTCCATCAGAAAAATTGTTATCAAAATACTCTAAACTCTATCCATCACCTACATTATTCAGAATTCGTCAACTCCACACAAAATATACCAAAACATCAAAACTATAAAATCCAAATTTCTGCTTCAGTTAAATATAAGATGGCGTACAAATGTAGGGGTAAAGAATCTATGGTTAAACCAGATTTGTTTTACCCCGGTGTCCGATCGGCAAACGTCTCTGACCTCAGATCGGTCCCTCTCTCTCGCGAGAGGTTCGTTGCGAATTCTTGGGGTCGTAGGTGCGCGTCGTACCGCGCGCGCGCGCACTCGCGGTTAATGCCCCCGAGCCCGAGCGGAGAGTGTCGCGGCGTTTCGTAGCGCATGCGCCCGCACGGGCGCGCATTATGTACGTCACCGTTACTCCGTTTCGTGTCCTGTCCTCTCCTCTCCTCGGTATCACCGGTTGCACGTCCCTCTCTCTTTGTTCCTGCTTTTCCATCTTTGCCCTCCCCGCGGAGCAGATACACTCACCTTCCCCTACCCTTCGATCTGCCCTCCCCGCTGCTGCCCGCTCTCGAGCGATGCAGTCGCGCGCTCCGGTCGTTGGCCCCGCGACCACGTCGTGTGTATATCCCACACTCTCCTTACCTACATCTATACGAGCGAGTGCACCGACACTACGACAACCGGCTCGATCCTTTCGCGGAAAATAAAAGCGAACCGGTGAACGTGACTCGGGAATTTCTGACACGCCGCTTACCGGGACGGTTTCGGTGCGGCCAAATAACGAGATACGGCGAAAGTTTACTTATGTTTATTATACATATTCAGTTTTTTTATTTATTCTGGTTGTCTTAGGGCCATTTTGAAGGCATTTTGAATATCTGGTACAAGCTTATTTCTCAACGGAGTGAACCATGGTCTTAGAAACTTAAATTAAACTGAAATCGAGCAAATTTGAAAATTTTCAATTTTGGCGCTGAAATTTTGAAATTAATATTTTTTCACTGAGAGTCAAAATTTTGGATAATTAAAAAGTTTAGCTGAGGACTACATTAAAGAAGATATTTTTAACCTAACCTAACCCCTTGATCTATAACATCTCAACCCAGATTCAACTCATATTACAGATGAATTATTTTGTTTCTATTCTGAGTAGATTCTTTGCTGGGATTTTTAATGAAACTTGAGATGGATTTGAAGTTGACAAGATTTCAGAAAAATTCAAAATTTGTTTTTTAGTGTTAAACCTTGACAAATTATAATTTTTGTTAATATCAACAGAAATCTTAGATTGTATCTTGTACTTTGGATATAGTAAGTTAACTGAAGAATTATGTGATAAAAAAAATGAAGATGGTAATATTTAAAGGAACATTATGTGATTATGTCAATATTTATAGTAGCATTATATGATTATGTCAATATTTATAGTAACATTATATTATTATGTTAATATTTATAGTAACATTATATGATTATGTTAATATTTATAGTAGCATTATATTATTTGACAATATTTATAGTAACATTTGATAAATAATTTTGTTCTGAGGTCCTGAGGAAATTAGTCTGCTTCAGGATAATTATACTAATCTATTCTTGGTCCAGGTTAGTCTTCTAATTTAGATAGTGCAGATAATCCTATTAAGAAACTAATGATAGAATCATGTGTGCATCCAGAAATGGCTATTTGAGCGATTAGACCTAAAACAGATTCATTCAGATTTGAGACTATATTAGAACAATTCTAGTTGAAATAATAATTTAGTCTAGTTTAAATAGTGGGATATAGCTAGCTAGTATGACTAGTTAGAGAATTTTAGTAAAACTCAAAAAATTGGGGAAAATATCTTATTTGAGTTGGGTAAAATTTGTAAATACTTTGAGCAAGTTAGAAAAGTTCAAAAATCAGAGAAAGTTTATTTGAGCGAAATAAGGAAATAATTTGAGAAATCTAGCAAAACTAAAAAATTAAGGAAAATACTTCATTTGAGCAGTGGAGAATTCCCAAATAATTTGAGAATTCTGCAAAACTCAAAAAGTTAGGGAAAGTACCTTACTTGAGCTGGGTAAAATTTCTAAATAATTTGAGTAAGTTAGAAAAGTTCAAAAATCAGAGAAAGTTTGTTTGAGCAAAATAAGGAAATAATTTGAGAAATCTGGCAAAGCTAAAAAATTAGGGAAAATACCTCATCTGAGCAGTGGAGAATTCCCAAATAATTTGAGAATTCTGCAAAACTCAAAAAATTAGGGAAAATACCTTACCTGAGCTGGGTAAAATTTCTTAATAATTTGAGAAATCGACCAAAGCTGAAAAAATTAAGGAAAGTACCTAAATTGAGAAATCCACTAAAGCTCAGAAAATCAGTAAAAGTACCGAAATAACTTGAGAATCCTATAAAGCTCAAAAAATCAGAAAAAGTACCCAAATAACTTGAGAATCCCATAAAGCCCAAAAAATCCGAAAAAATACTCAAATAATCTGAGAATCCCATAAAGCTAAAAAAATCAGAAAAACTCATCTGATAGACCGCTAAACACCAAAGCTAAAAATACCGAAAAATAACAAAATAACGAAACAAAAACATCAAAGTAAGCCACTCATAAAATCTCCAAAATCCCCCCGAAAAAGATTCATAGTACATTTCCCACTGATTCCCTAAGAGAAGAGCAACAGCTTGAACGTATCATCAGAATCCTTCCACGAGCATTTTCCGCTTTATATCTTCGGAATTGAAAAAATGTCCTTACCTGTAGAAGGCATAGTAAGATCTCTCTTTGCGACAAGTATCTGTTTGCATTCGGCTTGCACAATAGAGGCGCGTGCGCGAGCTCGCGTAAGTTAAGGCGGTACGCAAAGGTGGTCGCCCCCTGACCCGTGTCAGGGGGAATGCACAGTTTCAGAGATCGATGCACCGCATTCTCCCACAACCCCACCTCTGCCGGATTCCCGCCAAGCATAGGGTTCAACAGGGGTTGCTGGCCTCGTCCGGGGATCCGCGAGCTGCACTCGCGGCCCGATAACGCTTTGTCGGTCGCGGTGATCGAACCGGGGCGGAATAATCGTTCCGCGACACGCGAGAGGATCTCGAATTTATCTTGACGGTTCCGTAAATGGAACGGGTTTCGCGGAAAACAAACGCGGGTTCATTGGCCCGGGATTTCGAACGTGCAGCTTAACATTGGCAACGCTGACAGTTCATTGACTTGCATCGAACGCGTGCACCGATTGACAGGCCGGGCGAGGAGGTGCAACGGTACATCGTTCTCTCGGGCTGTGCACGAAGTTGAGGTAGGCGAGGTCGCGTGTCTGACGTCACGAGAGAGTCACTTGACGACGAGTGTCGCCAATTCCGTATGCGTACGTGCATACGCGTACCAGCGCGCCTGCGCCCGCCCGAAGAAGATACGCAACGACGACGACGACGACGACGTTCCACGCGTCGTTCGTTACGTAACCGTAGGGTCGTTGACCGATACGCCGGGAACTTCCTCCGCCCTGACCTACCTCTTTTCCCATTCTCAATTAGCGCCGATGAAAAAAACCCAGAGAGTCGCTGTTTATCTCGTTCGGGGGCAAAGGTCGTTCACCCCGATTCTCCGGCCGAAAAAGCCGAGGGGCGCGTTTCGAGGAAGGGAAACACGAGGGTAGGGCGGGCACCTCGAGAGGGTGGTTCCTCGAAGGTAGGGAGAGGAACCCGTTAGTAGAGCGCTCGGAGCCTCTATGGTCACGCGCTCGGTTCCGACGAAGACCGCCGCGATATCGAGGGTTTGCCAGTGCGCGCGAACGGGACAACGAAGAGGGACGGATGAGAAAGAAAGACGGAGAACAAGGGAGAGAGACGAGGAGCGCCAGTGCGCGCAAGGGGGACTCTCACTTTCACGCGGTGAACTGCGGGTGAACGTCCGGGAATTGGGTCAGAGTGTCCCCCACCTCGTCGAGTCAGAGGCAATGTGCCGAGGCTCTATGCTCTCTGTGCTAGAAAGAGCCAGTCCACAGCCAAGCTCCGATACAAACGGTCGCTTCTTTTTACCCCCTCCCCCTTTGGCCGAAAACTTGCGTCTCGACTCGTACGATATCGCTCGAACAGTTACGCTCGATTCGTTGGTGAGTTTGGTGGATCTTCGGACAAGCGCGAGTTTATTCGTCCAACCGTGACAAGTCGAGTTTAGAAGAGTGCGCGTGCGAACGCCACGCGAACGTTAGTCTCGAATCGGGTACGTGTGAAAACCGGGACCACTGACAGCCAGGTGAATTAATGGGGTGCTTGTGCGAATGTGACCTGGCCACCCCGCGCACGGGGACCAACTGCTCGTCGGGGTCCTCCTCGGACAGTGACGGTCAGACTGACGAGGGTTTCGTTGGTGATTCGCAGGGATTCTTCCGGCGCAGCATTCAGCAGAAGATTCAGTATCGGCCTTGTACGAAGAATCAACAGTGCAGTATCCTGCGAATCAACAGGAACCGCTGCCAGTATTGCCGCCTCAAGAAGTGCATCGCCGTCGGGATGAGCCGTGATGGTGAGTCTACTTTTCATTCTAAGCCCACCTTAGTTTCTAAAATCTGGACTGCCGGGTCGTTGACCGTTTGCGTAACGCCGCGACACGGCAAGAGTGTCGCAATGGGCGAAAGTGGCCAGCTCGAGAAAGCAGCGATCGCGATTATACTAACCGATAGCTTTCTTTTCGAAACGATTCCGTCACCCGTTGACCTCTTTCCGCGCAGATTCGACCCGCCGAGTTCAACGACCCGTCGTTGACCGATCCGTGACCCTAGAAACCTACATCATTTTCTTCGCGATTACGTCGTTCGAAAATGCAAAACCCGGAGTAAAGTTCGAGTTGATAGCAACGTGGAGTTGCGGGGTCAATAGTCGGGCATTGCTCGGCTTGCATGCTGCTCCACGTCCGTAGAAAGAGTACCGCTACTCGCCGCTACGTACCCGGTGACCCTTCCACCTCCTTCCACGCTCCCCACCTCCGAGTACATTATCGCGATCATCTCCCGCCTTCCCCCACCGCGTGCCCCCACCAGGACACCCGGAGCGACAACGCGCCGTCGCGTGGCACTACGCTCCATGCGGAGACCTCGCGAACTTCGTCCCCTGATCGTGTTTCCCCCCACTCGCTCTCGTCTCTTTTTGCTCCCCTCCAGTGGCAGAGCCACCTGGTTCTCGGGCGCATGCTCGTCTCCAGTAGTCCCGCCAAACCGAACCGTCTGGCAATTTGCTGGACACTCGCGTGGAAGCCGTCGGACCGTCCGTTTCATGAGAAATTTTTTAACCGCGAAATACAGTTAGCGAATGATGCTCCTCGAGGATGCGTTCGATAGCACGAGCCCGTATAGCGGTGGATCTGGTACGTGACTGTCGAGTACGCGTTATGAATCCGATGAGGATCCGGCAGGTTGAGTTGATCAGAGCGTTCGAGGTTGAAATCCAATTCCGAGGGAGTTAATCTTGTCGGGGAGAAAAAAGAGCGAATATGACATCCAATGACGGAGGAATCGATCGTCCGTGAACAGATAAGTCGTACGACGGCAGCTGGTAACAGGGCAAATAGCCAGAGCGAGGGGTTGCCCAAGGTCGTCGAGGGTAGCTTACCCCCGGCAAAGGAAGTTCGCATCTGCGCACACGAGTGAGAGTCACCTCTGACAACGGAAAGCTTCTCTCTCTCGTTCCTTCATTCTTTGTCATATTCACGCACAAACACATACAGGGAGAAAGGCACACGCGCAGCCAGACGGACCAACACAGTCGCGTACACCCTCTCTTTTCTGGCCGGCTACGTTCCCCGCGTACATTCGCTCGCTATATAGTATATATAGGTCGGCGGTACGCCTCGTGCGGCTGTCGCTGAAACCAAGTTCAAGGCCAAAGGCTCGGCAAAGGCCACAATCGTGGCCGGTGGTGGGAGTCGTTGATGGCTGAATAAGTGGAGGGGCTGTTGAACGCAACCCGCGGAACATCACTCAGTCGGCGGTGATGCTGTCTCGCGTTTGCACGCGTTCTACTGTCCCGCTCCTTTCTTGAACTCTATTCAGCAGCCGTGTGTT